CCCGCAAAAAAACCTTTTAAATTTTTTTTTTTTTTTTTTTTCCTTTTCCTTTTCCGGTTCCGCCTTTTTTTCCGCCGCCCCCCCTCGCTTTTTTCCCTTTTTTTTTCCCCCCCGTTTTTTGGTTTTTTGGTTTGTTTTTAGAGATGATTTTTTGAAAACGTTTTTTTTTGCCATCCTTTCCTTTTCCGGCCCCCCTGGGGAAAAAGGGGAACAAAAAAAAAAAAAAAAGCCCGAAAGAAAAAAAAAAAAAAAAAAGCCGTTTTTTTGTTTTTTTTTTCGAGGAGCGAGGAGGCGCTTTGCCCCCATGGCATCGCTCCCCGTACCGGAGCTCTCGCCCACTGGGGAACTGGACTCCCTGCGGAGCGCGTGTGCCGCCTCCTGTCGGCACGGCTGTTCTGCTGCGGAGTCGCCACGCGGTTTTCACTTCTCTGCAGGGTGCACCTCTCACCAGCTAGGGCCAGTTTTCCAGGAATGTTTTGCCGTGTTGTGTCCTCGTTGCTTGTGGCAGGAAAACTGGATTTGACACCTGTCACCCCCGTTCCACCGCAGCCTGTAAGCCAAAAATGTCTCGGTCTAAACGCCAAGAAGCGATGGCCCCCACCCCATCCCCGGATGGCACCGTTTCTTCCGTGTCTCTCTTGGATCGTCCTTGGGGCCAAAGCCCCCTCCTCGGTGCCTCTGGGCCTGTGCGTTTGGTGCCTCGCTTTACCTCCCGGGACCGGCCCAGCAGGCACCCTGCGCTCTCCGCCGTGTGTGTGTGTGCCTGGAGCAGCGGAAACGGCCACCTCAGCTTTAATAACGAGAGCCTGCGTCACTCAACCCGCCCCAAAACCAAGGGAGCTTCTTTCAGCTCCCAGCTCCTCAACTGCGTTTGTACCGTGTTGTGAAAATATAAACATAACCACCTAAAAAGAACAGGGTATTACCAACACTGCAGGACTTCTTTGCTTTTCAAACACAAAACACAGAGCTCCCTAGCATGGAGAACTCCTCCATCACCTTTCAAATTGGATTCATGTGATCAAGGTTTGAGTCACACTCGCAGTATTTGAGCTGCACACCTACTAGGTCCCTCTGCCTTATCTGATCATATTTGAACGATTGATTCCTGTCTTCGTTTTAATTTTTTTTCCTCAGTAAATTAAAATGATCCAAACGTTGAACACTGCCACCTCTGACCCTTATTATACTCTCTGGAGGGTCTATTTTGATCAGCCTTTTAAAGATTGGCCTCATTTCCCTAGTTTAGCTCATAGAATTTTGAGTGTCGTATTAGGTTCTGGGATTTGCCTTCTCTATCTTATGCCAAATGCTCCTTCCTAAGAGCTGTTCACCCTTAGTTTTAGAAGCACTAGGGCCTTTAATTTTGTAGAACACCCATCCATATTTATTTCTGTACATAGAACTAAAACACAGAACAGCCGCGTGAAAAATCTGGGTTGTGGTTTGAACATCCATGCTGCTTGGGGGTTGAGATGGTGAAACTAGATGTCACCGAGTATTTTCTGTAGAAAGCTGTGATCGAGCGTGCAATCATTTGAAAGGAAAAACAGTAAATGGAGATATATTTAGTTTTAAAGAAAGAAATCGTTGGAGAGACATCCACGCTGCCATGTCTCTTTGGTGCAATAATTAAGTAGCAAGGGAAAGTGACGTTGGCAGCTATTACAATCTGATGATTCTCTTACTCGTTTCTGTCCAGAAGTTTTCTGAAAATGTTTAACTCCCTTTAACTTAGTTGAATTTTTAAGCCGATTGAGTCTCATAGCTTTTTATCACTGAGTGGTCTACAGATACACAAAACCTGAGATGATAAAAATGGAATTGTACTATTTTTGACCCAGTTTAATTTACTTAAAAATTGTAATTGCTGACATATAGTGCTGCCTTGGATTTTGGTTCAGAGCTTCTCTAAATTCAGATGATAAGTAATAGCTCAGTTTCCTGTGCTGAAGTCTTTGCACCTTAGTGGTTTTGTTAAATGACAAGGATCTAGTCCCGGTGAGCGAATAGGTCACGCCACCTAACAGAGGGCAGGGCAGTGCTCTGGGGCGCTGAAGAGATACATTGAAGAAAAAGGAAAGTTCTAGTGCGATCGTCTACTAAAAATCACCTTAAGATGGAAAATCCAAGGCAATTTTTTTTTTTTAATGACGGAAAAATGATCATCTCGCTTGCTCAGAATGGGAGCCAGCATGA